GAACATGAATAGAGCAGAACCAGAACAAAATGTGCCAGGTGCTGAAAAGATTTATTAACATTTTAAAGGATTTAAGGATGTTGAAAACAGCTCTATTCATTTTCAGTGGCAAATAAGTGGCTAAAAAAGTGAAATAGCTGAAAAAGTATAAACAGCTGAAATACCAAAAGTCATAGCAGCCCTCACATGAAGGAGCTGAACGTTTTGATATTGTTGAAAAGCACAAAAGTTGTGGAAGGAGTTAGATGCTGAAAAACGTAGAGTAGAAGAAATGATCTAATAGTGTGAATGATTGTGAAGTGTCACACAATGATTGTGAAGTATCACACAATGATTGTGAAGTGTCACACAATGATTGTGAAGTGTCACACAATGATTGTGAAGCGTCACACAATGATTGTGAGGCGTCACACAACGATTGTGAGGCATCACACAATGATAGTGAAGCGTCACACAATGATTGTGAAGCGTCACACAATGATTCTGATGTGTCACACAATGATAGTGAAGCGTCACACAATAATAGTAAAGCGTCACACAATGATTGTGAAGCGTCACACAATGATTGTGAAGCGTCACACAATGATTATGAAGCGTCACACAATGATAGTGAAGCATCACACAATGATTAAGCANGGCTGCTCACCTTCAGGGTAGCTGAAGACCTCGTGGTGCTCGAAGGAGGACATTTTGGACATGAACTGCTTCAAGGCCTGCTCGGGGGTTAGGGGGGTCTGCTTTGGCTTGCTGTCGGCCGACTTGTTGGAGGCGGCGCTGCCCTGGCGTCCGTGCTGGGCCGGGTCCACCGCTGCGGGCTGCCGGTCCGGGAGGGGGAGGCCCGGCCGCGTGGAGCTGATGGGAGCCAGGCCGTTGGGCTGGGAGGTCAGGACGGAGCGCTTGTTGCTGTTGTCCTCATAAAGCTGGCTGATGTGGACCTGCGACTGTGACGAGACCTGGACAGGGTCCGACATGGTGGCTTTAGAGGCTCCCTGAAAGGAAACACAAAGATTAAAGGCTCAATCTGCAGACGCTTCAGATTAAAACAACTTTCAGCTCGTTCAGGAGATCAGTGCTGTGATTAGGCCTGTCACGATAATCAATAAATCCATTAATCGTACGATAAAATATTTTGAGGTCGATAAAAAAAATGGAGGATATTTTTCATTTGCCTGCTTGTTTACTTTCTTCTCTCTCTGTGCTCCGGTGCACAGCTCCACTGACCCCTCCCCCTCCTGTTTTAGTGTCAGGAGGAGTGAGCTAAGGCTTTAGGTACAGCCAGGTGCGTGGTCTCGTACATTGATCTATATTACTGGATTGGACATCACCTTTAGCCGCTATAGCTAGTGACGCGCCGTCACAGGAGCCATTGCTCTGCATTGAGTCATGTCAACAAAACAGTAGAGTTTCAATGCGGGATGCTCGTCAATCTGTCACAGAAATATTCACAGCACCCTCATTTCTTATCCGATTTCTATAAAATTTAATTTTACTGTTGTCCAATATATTTACCTCTCACAATGTTATCCTAACATAATAACAATATTAATAAAAATGTAATTTGTTGGAACAGCAAATTTGTCTTTATGTGACGGAAAGGGGTTTCTACTGTAAATACGTTAGCAAAAACCTATAATGAAAAGTTCCCAGACTGCTTATAGATTTATCTCTTGAGCAAATACACATTTTTTACATATCACAACATCTGCAACTTTCTCAGCTTTAATTTAAGCCATATTTTATAGAAATCGGATAAGAAATGAGGATGCTATGAATATTTTTGTGACAGATTGACAAGCATCCTGCATTGAAACTCTGTTTTGTTGACCTGACTCAATGCAGAGCAATGGCTCCTGTGCAGCACACGATAAGTCACGTGATGTCCAGTCCAGTAATATAGATCAATGGTCTTGTACCTCTTTAGCATGAGAGTTCGTAGCAATAACAAGGCCCTGTTTACATGGAGCTGGTTATCAGTGAAACCGCAACATTTTTGCTAATGCTACTGCTGCTAAAGCTTCTCTCGCTACTAATACTAATGCTACTGCCGCTAATACTGCTAATGCTAATTCCACTGCTACTAATGCTAATGCTACTGCTACAAAAGCTTCTCTTGCTATGCTATTAATGGTAATGCTACTGCCGCTAAAGCTTCTCTTGCTACTAATACTAATGCTACTGCTGCTAATGCTACTGCTGCTAATGCTAATTCCACTGCTAATACTGCTAATGCTACTGCTGTTAAAGCTTCTCTTGCTATGCTACTAATGCTAATGCTACTGCCGCTAGAGCTTCTCTTGCTACTAATACTAATGCTACTGCTGCTAATACTGCTAATGCTAATTGCACTGCTACTAATGCTAATGCTACTGCTACTAAAGCTTCTCTTGCTATGGCTGTGTCCAAAACGACAGGACGGGTCCTCCGGAGGACCCAGACTCCCCGGTCTCGGAGGGCCGGGTCCTTGGTAGACCGGGAAGACCGGAAAAAAAGAGGC